GTCCCTGCTGCTGGACACAGGCACTGCTCCTGGGCTCGATCCCTGGTGATGGAGCCCAAGACGAACTTCTGGCTGCTTGTGCTGCTGCATGGGCTGTTGAACTAGTGGCTCTGTTGGGGTAACTGCTGCCTCGTGCTGCCCCGCTACGACGTGCTTGGCCAGTGCTGCTGCTATTGCAGCCAGCTGCTGGCTTTCATAAAGCTTGCAAAACCTTTGCGGCTCTGCTACGCTTGCTTGCAGGTCCTTCAACTCGATCATGCTAGCAGTCACCAAGCAGCAGGCAGGTACTGCTTGCTGATTTAATGGTTGCAGCAGGCTGGCAGACAATAGGTGTTCAGTGCCTCTGTTGGCGGCTTGTGTTTTCTGGCCTGTCTTGTCAGAACGATCAACCTGTCAAATCAGAATCATGCACCACTAATCATTTATCCATGTAGAAGCTGCCCGTGTCATGGTGATGATGACAAAGATCGACAACGGCATGTGCTTGCAGGCGGTCAGCCCGCCATGGAATCCCGTGGCAGCTTCCCGCAGAGTGACACTGCGTCACTCGGTGTTTTGGGCTTCTGTGACACCACTCTGGCCTTCTTATATGCAGAAGAGGCTGCACAGCACAGTACAACTCGATGTATCGCTGTCCAGCATACAAACGCTCGTTGATTACACCTTCAGACACAAAGGCTTCTGCCAACGGAAAGACAATTCCCAACAGAATCAAAATGGCAAGGCTTGCAGTGGTGAGCAATAGAATATGTTGTATTTAAAAGGACGCCAAATGCAGCAGCAGTCTGCATTCGCCCTGCCAGGAGTGTCACCAGCTTCGTGGCGGTCTGCATGGGCCGACTATAGACACTGATCGCAGACAGTGGCAGACCATAACAAGCGATTTAGGCTGCGCCACCATGTGGACGGCTGATCATACATCGCAAACGCCCCTGTGGACCGCATCATTCAAGCACTGACGAAGCATGGTTTCTGCCGGTGGTGCAGATCTCCTTGGTGCTGTGCGCTCTGCTGGCGTCTGCCTACGCATCTGAGTCTGGTGAGCATCCGCGGTGGTGCAGGGCAGGGGCGCGCACAGGAGAAGATGAGCGTTGCTCCGTGATGCTGCACAATAGCATCCCACAGTTTGGAATTTGCAGAGACTGCTTTGCACGCAGTGACACAGCAAATTATTGCGACATTTTTTTGCCGCTTGAAAGCGCATGCTGGCGAGAGTTATGGTCAACTGTCATGCACTCAAGCTTCCTTGCTGCTGCCCCCTTCCCTTTTCAACAGGCCGCAGCCTGCTGCAGAATCAGCGGCTGACTGCCACATACGATTGCAACGGTGCAAAGCAGATTGGCACCGTTAAGAACGCCTGCAACCTGCTGTGCACATGCGCCGGCTCCTTGAACAAGGCCTATGCCACCCCAAACATGAAGAAGCAGTGCATGCAGTTGTGCAATGCCTGCCAGGCTGCTGCGAAGAGCTGCAAACCAGGCAGCGCCCTGCCGCAGGCGTGCAGAGCGGGTCAGAGTATCAAGGAGGTGAACACATGCATCAACACCTTCCTCAAGGCTCAGGGCTAGACAGCGTCCATTGCAGGACTCCTGGGGGACAGCTCTTATGAAGGCAGCAGTGACATTTGCGTACAACATCAAATTGCAGGCACTGGTAATGCAGTCAAAACGGGTATGTTTGGCAGTAGCAGGTCACGAGCGGCTGCACAGTGCCATCAAGTTGATGTGCCATCATGTAGCATTAGAAGCACTTGTTGTGCAGGCACTGTGATGTTGTGGAATGAATGATGATGTGGTGACAGTGAAGGAGGCAAGCATGACATGTGACCCTTGCTGTGGTGAGGCAATTGCGTGGTACAAGGGCAGTAGCTGAAATAAACATGTGCCTGTGGGGCTTGTCAGGCTCTTGATTGTGTGGGTGGTTGTTTTTGGCAGCACCCTGCAATGATGAAATTGCAAACCCATTGGTATGTAAACCGCTGTTGAGTGATACCTCAAGCAAGGAATGCAGTGTACTGCTGCGCACATGTGTGCAGTTTGTCACCATGTGCCGATGTAGCTATCACTGTTGCGTGGCCATGTGCACGGCTCTTGCGGTCATCACCAGGCCTGCATTTGGGGCTGACTCTCTTGTGGTCTTCAATGTGTGCATAATTTGGGGTTGTGGAGACAAGTGGGTTTGTACAGTGGCCAGTGATGGGGTATCATTGCTGTTGGTGAATGGTAATCACATTGCGGGAGTGTAGAATGTTGCTGTGCACCGCTAAGAAGTGGAAGATTGATGGATATGGTGCGTGCCCAATGAGCCTGTCATTGGCTCAAAAACGGGCGATGTTCCGTGTAACATCCAAACTGTGTTTCTGTGCACAGTGAATCAAGGTAGTGCCATTCAGACTTAACTAACCAGTGGTTCATCAAACAAGCAGGTGGTAATGCAGCAGCAAGTTGTACAGAACAGCACCGCGTGCATGCACAGCAGTGTCCAACAATCTGCAAGCCTCCCTCATGCAAGCTCTGCTGTTTACAATATATATTGTAGCGATGGTTAATGCCGCAGTTCTTTTGTAAGAAGGGCAGGGCAGCTCAAGATGCAGAGCACAAAGTAAGAAGTGCACCATTTGATTTGATCCTTAGTACTGACTGACGTTGTGTCAAGATTGGTGCTGCTCGTTGCATATTAATATGTAAGATGCAATATTGCGGTGTTTTAATATCGCAGCCAGTAACTTAGGAAGTTGGGAGAAATTGCATGACCGACATGCTGTGCATGCTCATCATCATCTTGTCACCCAATCAAGCCATAGCATCAACACCATCGGCCCCACTGGGACGGAAGATGCTGTGCATGCCACCGCCGTTCTGCCACTCACCTGACATACTATGAGACGGTCTCATTTAGTTGGACCTCATCATCATCATTATCATCATCATATTACCCATTCAAGCCATAGCATCAGTGCCATCGGCCCCGCGCCCCACTGGGGCCGAAAGAGGAGGGAGCACTGCTCCAGAATGTTTGCATGCATTGCGCACATCCCAAGACTTGACAAGAAAAGCAGCAATACACGGTGACACCATCCGACATCTTCCAGAACTGCCCCAAGTATCATCAGATACAAAACGCAACACCTTAATTGACGAATCAGCCATGTCCGAAACGCTGCGCAACTTTTCAGCGCAACCAGGCAGGGATCTGATCTCAGCAAACATACTATCCCGACGTGCATGCAAAGCACCCTGGCGTTACCCTCATGGGCCCTCGTGACGAACCTGCAGGCCGAGTTGTGGCAGCCATGCAGGCTGATGACTTTGTTGCTGTCTGCGGGTCTCTGTCTGAAGTTCAGGCTGTGGCTGCAACTGTTTACAATTACAGTTGCCAGTGGCGCTTCAAGCTCCACAGCTTGAAGTCTGCCGTCATGCATGTGCTGCCAGCAAGACAGACCAGCCAGCTGGTCGACTCCGGCATTGTTTGGAACAATGTCCCTGTGCCTGATGTATCGGAGTACTGCTATCTTGGCCTCTGAGCAGAAGTAGCAGGGCAATCAAACATGAAGTGTGACAAAGACTCAACTTCTGCACCACAACAAGGACATCCTGAAGTGGAGTTAGCTCTGCGACCGCCAAACTGACTAGTACGCTCATGTACACACAGACAACCCATACGAACACGCAAAAGCAACTCAATACCACGTGGAATTGCCACTGAACGCAAGTACGGCCTAGGCCTCCTGAAACCCATAGCATCAACATGAGTGGGATGCTCATGAGCCACATACCGACTCAGAGTGGAGTGTTCCAACGTTTAACATGCAATCCTTTCAGCATGTAGTGTCCTGACCTGCTTGTTGACATGGCTCTTGCACGCACTGGCTCTGTCTTCCGCGGTCACAACATTCACACCATACTTGCACAGCAGGCTCTGCACATACTTGTGCCACGGTGTCACCCCCACAGCACCACTAGGACGCCTCCATTCAGCTGTAAACACTTGATTTGGCAGCCGAACGCCCTCATTTAGTTGGACCTGTTACTTTCGGTATGCCTGGCTGAGGTACGCAGTTGTGCATTTACCTGGAGCCCAGGAGCCGTTTAAAACTCGTTCTATTATATGCACTGACAACTGCCAGCAATGAGCCCACCAAACCACAATTCAAGAATGATTTACAATCATTGCAACACATGTCAACATCAAAGTAATACATGATGAGCTAACTCCACTTCAGGATGTCCTTGTTGTGGTGCAGAAGTTGAGTCGTCGTCACACTTAATGTTTACTTGCCCTGCTACTTCTGCTCAGAGGGATAGTATGTTTGCTGAGATCAGATCCCTGCCTGGTTGCGCTGAAAAGTTGCGCAGCGTTTTGGCTATGGCTGACTCATCTATCAAGGTGTTGCGTTTTGTATCTGATGATAATTGGGGCAGTTCTGGAAGATGTCGATGGTGTCACGGTGTATTGCTGCTTTCCTTGTCAAGTCTTGGGATGTGCGCAATGCATGCAAACATTCTGGAGCAGTGCTCCCTCCTCTTTCCGCCCCGGTGGGGCGCGGGGCCGATGGCGCTGATGCTATGGCTGGAATGGGTAATATGATGATGAGTAACACATGATTGAACATGACTCATACCTGCCAGTGCTACAATGTAGGCCTAATAGCTCCGCAAACCGGTGTCACACTGTAACACCGGCATGATGACGGTCATGAGTTGTTAATATTGCTTCCAGTTGCTCCTGCACAGGACATTCTGGTGATGTTTGGGCTGTCAAACCCACCAGCGCAAATCCGTTCCAGTTGTTTTTTATCCCAGCCGTGTAGCCCAGAGTACCGTACGGCGTCAGTGTGAGGCTCTCCAATGAAACCTAATGCTTGGAACTGCCAGTTTCGGCACAAACCACAGTGATACCAAAGTAAGGCCACTGATTGCAATTGCAGGAGGATATTCATCATGATGTCACCAAACCAAGCCATAGCATCAACACTTCCGACTGGCCTTTCAGTCTGACACTGAGTGGGCATGACAAAATTCGAACCCGGGTCTCCAGCATACCATGCCGGTGTTCTACCACTAAACTACCCAATTAAGGGCAGCTGGATCGTCAACACCAAACACACCGCTGCAGCAAGCTAGGCACGTATACAAGCGCTATGCTACATGGAGCCCATTCCCAGGAGCCATTTCAAGCCTCTTCTTCCGTTTCAAACTCGTTCTTTTACCTGCACTGCTGCAACAATGTCCACCATCAACAGCCGAAGCGACTGTCCTATCATCATGCATGGGCAATGATGGGCAATAATGGGCGATGATGGGCAATGATGGCAACATGTCTTCATTCATTTACTGCATGTGACGTGCCCACCTGCGGCCACTTCTTGAGCAACCAGTCGAGTTGTGAAGCTGCCATAGACCTCAGTGCAACACTCTAATGCTCACAGCCTGGCACGCTACGCAGCCATTGCATTGCAGCGCAGCTGCTACAGGATGCACCTTGTGAAAGCGAGCCAAAGTTGCCCAGTGCTGTTGACATTAAGTGCTAAATCAAAAGTTGCATCTAATGACAGCTGGTTGCCTTTGATGGCCGTGGGTCCAATGCATGACTGCATGTCCTACCATGCATGCCTACCTAGTGAAACTGCGCATGTTGCAGCATGCTGCCAAACGTACAGTACAGTGTGCAGGCAAACTGCCACCAAAGCAGGCAATGATGCTGATTGCAGCTTACTGATGAACCTCATTAACCCCACCACCCAAAACGGAACTTGTTCTAGCGCCCGTTGTCGCGTAGCCGTGCGCACACACCAAACAACCCCCAAGGTGGTGGTTGCCCAGCAAGGTGGCAGCATCCACAAAACAGATGTGATGAGGTCCAGCCGCAACATCACATGAGCGGCCGATGCATCAACACCACCAGGCCGCGCCTAACAGAGCTGCGCCTCACCACAGAAACAGACACTGACAGCAGCCATATGCTGATGTCCAATATCCAACAAAGCTGCAATACTATATTACACTTGGTGTGGTTGCTGTCCTGTGGTGCCACAGCTACAGCCGCTGTTATCTGCCAGCATCACTGGCCCACCTGCTGTTGGTGCTGCTGCTTGTGCAACTTGAGCAGCCCATCAAACCACGGGTGTGCCTGCAGCTGCGCAATGGAAGGCCGCTTCTGCCTGTTCTTCTCCATTGCCTGCATCATGAAGCTGACTGCCTCATACGACAGGCCACCAGGGTAGGCAGGCTCCTGGCAGAGGCAACCGGAGGCAACAGCACAGCAGCAGCAGTGGCAGCAGCAGCGGCAGAAAGTCACGGCACCGGAAAACACATGCCTGGTGCACCCGGCTATCAAGCAGACATCGCCTTGTGCATATGCGCATCGCTAGGCACTGAAGCCTACTGTACATGCCTTGAAGCACAAGGCAGGACCAGGCACTGTGCGTCTGTGCAAGGGGCAACAAAGTAGGTTGAAGGACAGCAGCAATAATGTCTTTGGGCATGGCTGTGCTGCAGTCTGGCCTAAACCTGATGCTGACTGGCCTGAGACATAGCTACAGCCGAAGACCTGGGGTTGCGGAGCTGAATCCAAAGAGTAACAAACCATAGACAACACAAGCACAAGCTGCTCTTGCTCCCAGCCTGCAAAGTGGTGCAGGCACGCACATGAGACCAGGCCAGTTGTATCTGTGCGATCAGCCCAACGATTGCTGTGACAGTGTCCACCACCTTGTGCTTAAGGTTTGCTGCAACCGGTTCCCTCCATGTTCCCACCATGAATGCAATGTTGTGAAGCATGCTTGGGTTTGCTCACCCCAAAAATGCTGAGAGGCCTAGATCACCGCGACAATCGGTTGACGAGTTACGTCTTTGCGCATATATGCAATCAGCATGAGTGGTGCATGCCAAGTAGTTTGGTGAATGGCCCACTTGTGACTCGAGCTCTCTCTGTGGCATGCTGTGTGCTGCCACATGCACGACACACACCCTCGCGGGCAGCTGCACTGCCACAGGAACCCACCTTGCTAAGTATGTTATGCTTCTCTTCATCCCTGCTGACGTCCTCGCGCTCAGCAAAGGGGGCGCGCCCGCACAGCACATCATAAGCCAGCGCGCCAACGCTCCAGCTGTCAAGCTGCAGCAAGCAGCAGCCAGGCAGGTGCAGCCATGTCTGTCGCCTGTGCAAACAGCATGTTTGCCTGCAAGCGCTGCGGTGCAGTCAGACAGCTAGTGTGTACAAGTCGTGTGTGTACACACACCTCAGCCAGCAGCACACAGCTCCTGCACCTAAGTAGTGCAGTCGGAGCATTGCTGCACACCCAGACAGCTGCAAACTTGTGCCTGCCTGCTCGCCGCTGATTGGCAGTTGCTGGAAGCACTTGGTGCTGCCGGCCGTGACCAGCCTTCCATGCGGTTCCAACTGTGCGGACCAACGACAGTCCTACGTCTGCAAACCACGCACATGACCACACTATCACCGGACCAAGCAGTAAACCCTGCTCCCAAGGCAACTGCTGCAGCCAGCCGCACCACCTTGAATGAGGTTGCTGCTGTGAGCTGCGCCTTGGTGAATGCGCTCCATATGCTGATGTACTCTGGCGCTGCAAAGCTGAAGGTGCCCTCCAGCTTGAGCACCTGCTTGGCCAGCAGGCGCTCGTCACCCACGCGCAGGCTGCTGCCAAAGTCGCCCAGCTTCCACACGCCGCTGGCAGTGCGATACACGTTCTCACTCTTGATGTCACGGTGCACAATGCCCTGTCAGCAGCAGGGGAGGGCGGCGCAACCAGGCAGGCTGCTGGCTGAAGGCAGGACTGGATGGGCTGCCGGTCAGAGTGACGCAGGGCGGTGCCCTCAGCTGGGGTTGAGGAGGTAGTGGCATGCACACAACAGCAAGCCACTGCCGGGCACACAAGGGAATGGCAGACTCTGCTGTGGCACAGCATGCAGTCTGTGCCCGTCTGCGTCTTCTGGTGCAGTTGTGCACGCGCAGCTGAACAGACGCACCCCACACCAAGCAGCAGGGTCAGCGCCACAGCATGCATGCAGCAGGATCACTGCTGCACTGCAGGCTGGCTCTGCACCCACCAGGCCGCCAGCCAAGCCTGCTGCCTTGCCTCACCCCTGCCCACGCACCAGCACGGCCGACACCCCAGCATCCCAAGCCCCGCCCCGCGCCCCGCACGCACCTGGCTGTGCATGTACTGCAGCGCTGTGAGCACGTCATACACCAGCTGCCGCGCGTCATCCTCGCGCAGGCACAGCCGCTGCTTTGCATTGATGTAGCTGTATGCGTCGCTGTCCCCTGCATACTCCATGAACAGCTTCACGCCGCTGCTGTCCTCCATGCCCAGGTACGCCTGGATGATGTTGGGGTGGCTCAGGCTGGCATGGACCTCCCACTCCTGCTTCACCTGCACCGTGCAGCACCAGCAGAGCAGCAGCAGCATTAGCACGCACCGGCGCAATGCCGGCGACGGTAATGATGCTGTGCAGAAAGCGTGTACAATGCTCGTGATTGCAGTGAACTGCGCCAGCAAGCTGCACAACATTCCCGCCCGCATGTGCTGCTAAAGTGCTGGCATGACGACAGTGCGAGCGCAGCACCGTAACTGTGTGCGAATGTTTATCCAGCTGGCTCGCGCCAACCACTTGCTGGCAAGCTGGCCCTGCACGTGCACCAACACTGTGCTGCTGGCGTAATCCTGGTGTGCATGGCAGTGGCTGAACCCAGCTCCTGCCACCTGTACAACAAGAAACCTGCTGCGTCTGCCCTCTTGCCTTGCTGTGCTGCTGTTGATCCAGCCTCACCTTGTGCTGCAGGTCCAGCCTGTGCTGCAACTTGTCACGCTTGAAGGCCTTCACCACTACCTTTTCACTGTTTGACTTGCAGGTGGCAATCTGCACACTGCTGATGTCACCGTCATAAAGTTCCTGAAACTGAAAGTTTTTTGCTAGGTTTGACCTGTAGCATGGAACACAACACATGCAGTAAAAGCTAGTCAGCTGCTTGGTAAACAACAAGGGGCAGCCACTAGGGTGTTTAGCAGCAGTGCAAACTTGCAAGGCATACTGCATGCAGTCTCTGACGGTCGGTGTGTGCATACGATGTGGCTCATTGGCATTGTGCATATGTAATGGCTGTTGGCTTGCTCAGTGTACAGCACAGCCACCTGCACACTTTGACAGCTGCAAATGGCATGGAAGCAGCTGGCGCTGTCTGACAACAGCAACTGCAGACCAGCACATGCACACACGCACCGTGTACGCGACTGCTTCAACCATGGCACGCACGCCTCTGCTATCTTGGCCCTGCTGGCGAAGAAGGGCTTGTAAGGGTCAGCTGCTTGCGGCTCCAGAAGCGGTTCAGCAAGAGCAGCCGCAGCACACACGCAACGGCTGCGCACGCCCTGTTGCTGCAGCAGTGGCTGGTGCTGCTGTTGGTGGTGGTCAGCAGCAGAAGCAGCAGCAGCCAAGGTACGCTGCTGTGTTGCAGCAGCATGCAGCAGGCTCGGGAGCGCCCGCATGCCCAGCATCTGCGTCCCCACCACCCCCTGGTGCATCTGCATGTGGCTTAAGACCGGCCCTCGACAGCGCATGCGCAACCGACAGCTGCACCAGCTCCTCAACAGCTCATCAGCCTCTCAGTGTACAGATACATAATCAGAAACTGCGTTGGTGGATGTTACAGCTAAAGCGAGCTGCCTTGTGTCCAATACCGGTGTTTATGCCTTCAGCAAATGGTGCAGTATGCTCTGTGGTGATCAGGTGATTGTAGCACCAAGTAAAGAAACCTGTGCCAGTCGGCAGCATTACCGCGGACAGGCTTGAAGTCGATTAGCAGCGCCACAGCCCACATGCGTGACATGTATGACAGGGTTTGAATGCACCTACAGCTCACAGTACGTTTTGCTGGAAGTCCTACTCAACAGCCTTTCTCGGCAAGACAAACGTCCAGCATCAATAAAGACCCGTTGGCATACCCTTTCCCAGTGGGCTGCTATGCGTGAGGGCCAGCCTAAGTGGGTCGAGGTCAAACGTCGCGTACAACGTTTGAACCTGACCACCGATGGGCCAGAAGCTGTTCTACAACCCCA